TGACTTAGAAGATTTTTATTTTTTGTGGGTAGACTTTCTTCTCTTCTGTCACTCATCCGCTTTTGCTTTGAAGAAAAGCAGTGTACTGTATTAAAGAAAAGAAAAAAACCCCAACCCCCTATGGAATATGCTTTTTTAACAATGAGGGCCGAGGCCCTGACTCATCTCTCTTATGACTTACGCTAGGGTGGTTTGAAAAGCTCGTCTCTCCTCATGTCCTTTCCCAATGTCTTCTGAAATGTTTTTCTTTTGGTACTACTGCCTAAAGGCAAGAAACTAATATTTTCAGAAAGTGCATATCTTTGTATGATAGAGAGAGAGAGAGCATGTTTTCATATAACACTTTATTTATTTTTAAAGAAAACCCAAACAAACCAACCAAAAAACCCCAGAAAGTGAGTAAGAAGCAATCAGTTTCTCAGCCTTTGAAGGCAGTAAACTTCTCACAAGGGCAACTTGGCTTAGAATTGGTAAGAAAGTGATCCATGTTACATTTCTGTTACTATTTAAATGTCTAAAGCTTCCCACACAACTGTTTATTTTTACAGAAGCCCTGTTTTTCATATAAGCACTGTGTTGTTTATTTTCCCATGTTTTTAATAATTGTTTTCAACTTGCATGCAGTCAGTAATGGAAAGGATTTTAAAAAAAAATAAATCACTACATTAAATCTTGCAGAGGAATTGCCTAGAGATAAGTAGGCTGACAGTGTGCTGCTGCTGGGGGTGCACAGAGAATACTGCAGTAGAGAAAAAGAGTTATTAACTGATGGAGCCGAATGTCTGCTTGATGAATGATTTCGAGCACATTGCAGAGACTGACAGTACAGAATTTCTGTGGGTTCTCAGCGCTAAAAGAGTATTTTCCTTTTTCTCTGGACTGTTTTGGATTTTTTCATACACATGTGTAGGAGTATCTTAATAGCTATTATAAAAGGATTCAATATTTGTGAGGAGAGATCGCAAAAAAGGAGAATGCCAGACATTAAGATTTAAATTGCTCATGTGTCTATCAGGTTGTGACTGGAGAATCTTCCTCAGGTTTTATGTTCCAGAAGAAGGGTGGGACGATCCGAAATGTTAAAATTGTTATATAGAAAGGCAGGATTGGTGAAACTGCATATTTTCTTGTCTGGCTCCATGTAGCCTGTATGAGAAAGGGAGAGTATCTACTTGCCCTCTGAGGTAATACCGCTGATGCCATTCTTCCTTTGCTATGGGGAGCTTGAAATCAGGGTGTCCTGGGAGACAGTAATGTTGTAGATGGCTTAAAGCTGGTGTTTGCTTTAGATTGTTGTGATGCACTGTGTTAGTTGGGTGAAATCCTGCAGGATCAATAGTTCTAGAAGGAAATTTGTTCTGATTATTGTAATACCTGTCAGGACTGGACACACAGCCTTAGGCCTGTTAGTCCTGGAGTCTGGATAACAAGAGCATTTCCACTGCAAATAAAATCATATCAAAAGCAGCCATGTACTCTTCCATTTAGGTGTGGCTATTTAGTTCTCTTCCTTTGAAGTTTCTATTTATCTTTGTTATAGGATGGGAGGAAAAATCTTTAACAGAGAGTATTACTATATTTAGTAATTGGGAATCTTTCTCTAGTTTCGGAAACAAATTGAAGCCTTAAATCAACAATGTCATTTAGGTTTTGTAAGATGATTTCTCTGCATGGGGAAGATTAATATATCATCTAGTATTTTAGCTAAATATTGAATTACTGTATTTTTTTTCTTTTAGCACAGAAAATAGCACCTCAATTTTTCATTGTTACTTCTTAAATTATTTTTAGCAGCTAATTTTAGTTTATTTCCTGTATGAAAGAATGTTTGTTCTTCCTGTTGTGTCTGAAATACATTTCTTTGCAATGCTAGAATATGGCATAGCCTTTTCTGTTTATCTTTCACATACTGTGGATGTGACCTTGAGAATAGAGTCATTTCTACTTACTCATTTGTTTGGGATTTTGTCACATAACCGTTAGTCCCCTGCATCACGGTTGGCAGCACACTGACAACAGGAAGATCCTGGAGGTGCAATTCCAGCTGTGAAGGAGCAGTTAGCGGTTGCTGTGGCTGGGGTAAGGAAGGAAGGCAATCAAACAGGATTTTAAGATCAGCCAGGTAGAGGAGGATGTAGGTATTAACAAGCTGTGAATTGGCTGGTTTGGAGCAAGTGGTGGAGAGCAGATGACCTACACAAGGAAACCTAAGAGAGGATTCCCGTTGCATTCAGTCTTCTGTGAGGATGTCATTGAGTGCCAGGTTTCTTTGAGGGTGATGTTATTCAGAAGAGTTGTATTGGGTTTGGATAGCAACATTTTGGTAGCAGAGGTGCTACAGGGGTGGCTTCTGTGAGAAGCTGCTGGAAGCTTCCCCTAGGTCCAACAGGGTCAATGGCAGCTGGCTCCAAGATGGACCCACCGCTGGCCAAAACTGAGCCCATCAGCGATGGTGGTAGCGCCTCTGTGATGACATATTTAAGAAGGAGAAAAAACTGTACAACAGCAACTGGAAAAGAGGAGTGAGAATATGTGAGAGAAACAACTCTGAGGACACCAAGGTCAGTGAAGGAGGAGGAGAGAAGGTGCTCCAGACACTTCAGCTCTTTTAAAATCTGTTGTCAATGACCCGTTTAAAAAAATATATTGGGATGTAAAACAAGTTCAGTTATTTCAATAATACACATTATTTCCTTCCTCTTTTGCCGCAGAGTTTTTCTGTGACTCTCTAGAATAAGGGAGGTTTTTCCTTTTTGCTCTGTTCATTCGGCGTCTTAAATGAAGTGAGTTTTGCTCAGTGCTTGAGCAGTAGATGTTCAGCAAATTCTAATACTTTGAATCCTACACGGAAGTTGCTGATCCTGATGTCTTCTGCTTTGTCAGGTCTGTAGAACATCTACTGGTATCACAACTGGAATATGAAGCTAGGTAGCACAGAAAGGATGAATCAAAAAGGCTTCTTAAAACTGCCTTAGGTCAGCTGGAGAGTAGTAAGACTTAGAGCAATACCTTGTTTTGGATAAAGGGAGAGTAAATAATTGATTTTATTTAAGTTTCGCCTAATCGAGGAAGAATATAGTTGACAAAAGCCTGTAAAGCTTCGGGCTAGGTGATAACTGCAAACATTCAGTTAATTTTCCAAATGTTTCCTAAGCTCTCTGGTCAGATTATTTTCTGCTTGTTTTAGTTGTAGAAGAATATAGTTGCCTTGGATGAAGGGGGAGGGTAAAATGGAATTTTTTTAAGTTTTCAAAGTTTTATTTTGGATTTTATTTCCTGTGGAAGCAAAAATTTGGAAATGTAAGCTGTTTCTAACAAAAAGGAAAATAAAAGGTAGGAAAATGATGGCTTAGAGGTGAAAATAGAACGTTTCTGTTGCTGTGAAGCATGAGAATGTCAGATTTTCAACTCCACACACTTATTCAAGATGGGAGAAGGACAGAAGCAGTTTTCCATACAATTATGTTGTTCAGTCATCCAGGGAGAGGATGATCTTTTCTCTCCTAGCTGTTCCTTCAGTTTGCCTCCTTGAGTTCTTTTCCTGAGGGGGAATATTTGCATGAGTGTGTGTGGTGCTTGCTTTTGGTTTAGCTTTGAAGCAGCCCTGTGTGTGTGCTGTGGAGCTCGGTTACATGGTGTGCGACTTCTCAAAGCAGAGACTGCCTGGGGGTCCGGCAATTCCCTAAAGCTGTGTGTCGTGGGGGTCTGGGTCACCTTCTGACTGATCTTGTTTGCTGTCAAAGGGAATTAAAATCGACTGCGGTTTCTCCTGAAGCTTTGGCCTCTGTTTTAAGTTTTGACTATTAAAATGTCATTATTGTAACCTTCAGCAAGGCATTTAGCTGAATTTCCTTACAAACCTTGCAACAGCTGCTTTTCACTTAATTCTGCTCTAACTTGTTTGCAGGGATGGTTATTTGCGTCTTTGAGTTCAGTTTCCTTTCTTGCTTTTCAGTGCACTCAATGTGTATTTCCTTAATCAGTCTGTTTACCGCAGCATAGGGGGCTACAGGAAGCACACCATACTTTGAAAATATATTAAAGATAATAAAAAAGTAATGAAGTTCATAATAATACATTTTACAGTTTAATACCTTGAACAAGTGGAGCTTGAATCTTTGTTGCTTACGAAGCCTTCAGATCTTTATTTTAAAGCTTTGGATACATCAAGTATGAACCTCTAAGGGTTTGCAATAAGTTTTTTTTGGAAGGTAAGTGTAAGAAAAGAGGCTTGTCATGTGCATGTATAATTTTCTGCAGGGTGTAAAAGTGGAGAGAGAAGTTTCAAACATCTTTTTCTTTTGGCTTTAGAAAGGATTTTGGAAGCTTGCCAATTTGCTTAAAGAACAGTCTGCTCAAATAATGTTGTTTTTATCAACTATACAAGCATGCATTTCATCTTCATCTGGATGGTCCAAATGTAGAAACAGATTAACTTTTCTCCCCGACAGCTGTTATTCATATCTGATAGTAAATAAGTGCTCTGAGTTGCATCCTATGCTAATGTCTGTAAACTTACAAGTTACCTTCTTTGTAAAAATACTACCTTACTGATGCTTGAGAAACTGAAAAACGTCTTAAACTGTGATTAAATGTTTTATGTAGGAAAGGAGGAGGAGAGAGAGCGTAGCGTCCTTCGGTGTCTCAGGTCACATACAAAGGAAAGGAGATCTGATCCTAATTTAATAATGGAGAAGGAAGTAGAATTTTCATACTTTTCCTTATGAAGACTTTCAGAAAGTATGAGTCACGCTATTAAACCTACTATAAACCTACTATTTTAAGATACGATTTTCTCTAACATAGTCTTGACATTTTTACAGGCCTTTGGTAGTCTCAAGCCCTTCGTTTTTGTAGGTAAGTATATAGTATGTTTGGATCAGAACATTAACATCCATTTGTGGTAGTTCTTCACATTTGGTCACTATATCAACCCATAAGAATTTGATAGCTATGTAGTGATACTTCCTATGACAGCAGACGATTTTGGACCTTTACAGATGATGAGCCAAGCTGAGGGCCAACAGAAGAATCTCGTACAAGCCATTGAAGCTCTCCCAAGTTCTGGACCCCTTTCTGCCTTGGATCAGGACTTGCTGCTTTTAAAAGCTACCTCTGCTGCCACCCTGAGCTGCCTTGGAGAATGCCTGACTCTGTTACAGCAAAGCATGCATCAAGTGGCCCAACACCATAACAGGTCACTGTCATCAGGTGAGCACAAGCTCTCTAGGGGATTATTTTATGTGCATTGCGTTCTTTTATTCTAATGCTGAAGCAGGCAAAATTAACCATTGCTCAGAGAGGCAATTTGTAAACTTCTACAGTCTCAAGTGTCATAATTTTTTCTTTGCCTAAAAAATGCTGCAAAATCTCTTGAAATCAGAAGAGAGGAGGAAAAGAAGTTGTCTTAAGTCTTCTCAGGGAAATCTAGGTCTGAAGATAGCAAGACAAAAAAAAGGAAGGGCGTGTAAAACTAGTAGATAAACGTAAATTCTTATGGCAGTGCAGAACCTGCTTGGTTGGTTTTGTTAATTTTGGTTTGGGGTTTTTTTTGAGTTTGAAATCACAATACAGATTTGTTTGATAAAAATACATCTAATACTATGCAATGCTATACTGAAAATGGTATTTCTAGCTTTCTCCATGGAAGGATGCTGTTAAGGCAGATTTATTCCAGTCTGTGGCTTTCCTTAAATCTGGAAAGAGTTCTCCGTGGTGCTATTTAAAAACAAACAAAAAAAAAAGCCAAAACCCACAAAAAAACCTCAAAAAACAACCAACCAAACTATGGCAAATTTTTATGAGCCTGAAATGTCGAACTGCATGATTCTGCACTGAGCTCTGCAGGGATGAACCTCTTGGTCCCCATGTGGCTCATTTTTTTCTATTCACCGAGGTCTGTGTCTCTGTCCACATTGTCAGAAGGTGGAACTTCAGCTTTCTGAAAGGGTGGCCAGTGTTTTTCTATATACCAACTGCACTGCCTAATCTAAGAGCAGGAGCAGGACTCCTAAGAGGAGCAGCAGCAGCAGAACTCTGGATAGGGCATGGCTTTTTATGTTTTCTTCAGGTGCTTCAACGACATCCCCCTGCAACCTGTCCTTACTTAACAGTAGGTTTACTGCAGGGCAGGATATGCCCTCAAGGCTGCTGAGAGAGCTATGTAGGAAGCCCTCTGAAGAATTCCCAATGTGAGGAGAATAGAAATGAGAGAGAGGCAGCTGAGAAGTAGGCAAATGATGTAAAAAGGGTGCTTGGACAATGTGTAAAAACTTTGCCACCTACACTATATCATGACTTCCCTGCATCCAGATTCTGATATATTTGATAAATGAACAAAAAAATGAACAAAAACATTTCTTATTTTCTGTATTCTGGTTTTCTTGTAGAAAATGCAAAAAATACCTTGCACGTATTTAAATAGCGATAAAGGGCATTTAATTGAATTATTTGATATAGTGTCATTTCAAAAAAGAATGGTTAGGAACAAAGTTGAAAAGCATCCTTCAAAGAAAAGTCACTTTCTAGGTTGAAAGTCTGTCAAGGTGGTTTTTCATGTCTGTGTGATCTAAGTCAACTGTCGGAGATAGAGGACTTGCACATGTCCTTGAATCTGCGTCCAAATAATCTTCTCTTAAATCAGTGTCTGTATTTTGACTTGATGATGATTTTGGAGGATATGTGCACAGGAATGGAGAAAAGCAAGTGTAACATTAGTAATTACTGGAAAGGAATCCCGGATTTTTTGAAAAATGGTGGAATGACACGACTATAAAGTACTTAATACAATTTAATAAATGTTTTTATTTGTAAGACTTTACTTGTACGAGAATCCTTTTTGGAATTAAAATTCTGTAGCACTGGTTCACATCAGCATCTTCGCTGTAACTGAGAAACTGAATGCAAACAGTTAATTTTTCAGTGTGTACATGTGCTTATTCTTTGGTATGTAATAAGAAAGAACAAAAAAGAAAGAAGAAAAAGAAAGAAAAAAAAAAAAGAAAAAAAGAGAGGCTAAAAGCTGCTGAAATATTTAGTCTCTTCTCCCTGACTGAAAGAGTCTATGAAACAGGTTGGTTTTTTTCCCTTTTCTCCAGGCCTTGTTATGAAACACAGTTGCCTGAAAGAACCTGGCCTAAAAGTCTTGATTACTGATTTTCCTCCACACTTAATCTTTTCCAGGCGTACTTTGATAGGCTTAACGTTTCTGCTGAGTCGGTAGAGCTTCAGAGTCATCAAAGCTGCATAAACTCATACCTAATCAGACTAATGCCTTTAAGTAATCCGTTAGCAAACGATAATTCTGAGAGATTATATATTTCATTTTGATTCTGTGTCCTCCACGTGAATTTGTTTTTAATTTCATACCTGGGAGGTGCAACCAAAAGATGACCTTTACAGTCACCTCTTGATAGTGTCAGGTGAAAGTGGCTCTTGTTAGTTTAAAAGTCGTATATTCCTCTGATAGGAAGTCTCAGATGCCTTTCCGTGGGAGGTAATAGCCCGGTGCAGTTTATTGCCAGAGGTTTCCATCCCAGTGCTGTCTTACTACCTGCTGCATAGTGTCCAAGATGCTAGTGGGCATTGTGGCCCAGGAGCCCCAGAATTTTGTGGGCTAATATCAAATAAGAATTTGATAGCTTATTTTCTTGCTTCTAGCCTACAGTTCGTGAAAGCAGTCCAGTCCAGCAAAGCAGCACAGTCCTGCTCATGTGGAGTGTGAGAAGTAGTCAGTGATTTAGCTTTGGTGATCTGAACTTACCCTTGAGTTTACCTTCATTCAGCATCAAAAAGCTCTCACTGTTACACCATAAAGAGAGAAAATACATTTCCTCCACCTTCTCTGGTACCTTCTTTGTACCTTTGCTCTACTTGTGTCCTTGAAGTCTTTAGGGCTGATCATGCCAGGATTGCTGACTTCTCTGTGCACCCTAGGCCTTGCAATCTTACTGCTTCTAAAGCAAGGTCTTCAAGTAGCTGAGAGTTTCTGACCTAGTACTTGTGGAATGCACTCATGAAGATTATGATTAAATAGTGGCTACTTTAAACAGTGGAATCTTATCCAGAGTCTGGGATTGCGTAGGTCTTGATTTGATGGCATCCTTTGTCATGGAATAGTCTAAGGATGACATGGTTTTTCCTCTTCCTTTTTCTTTTACTCATGAGTTGTCTGCAAGCAGACATGAAGATTAAACTGAACTCTTCAATCTTGTCTTGAAGGGTAGTCAATACAAGTTTTTTTTTCCACTGTAAAGCTTCAAGGAAGGGTTTTTGTGATTGTCTTTTCGTTAGAGCCTGATTTTTGGAAATACATCAACAAGAACAGTCAGTGAAGCAAAATCCTGCCTGTGTTTCTACTTTTAAGTTAAAACAATGTTAAATAATGTCAGATTAATTTCTGGCTCTTGTTAAAGGTAGGTACATTAGCACTGGCTAAATTCTTTGTAATTTTTTTCTTTTGCTGAAAAATATGCTGGAGAATGATATCAGGCGAAAGTGTTGGTTATGTATGGTGTGAGCTGACGATGAGGGTTTGTATCTATACAAGCTTCTTTGGGTTTAGAAATTTTGTTCTTTTTGAAGGAGGGAGAAAAATGTCAAGGATTTTCTTACTGGCCAAGATTGTCATCACTTAGGTACATTTTAAATGCTAATCAGCATTAAATGCCTTGTGATAAGTTTGAGTTCGTTTAGCACGCAGACAAGAAACAGGGGCCTTTAAAAATAAAAATGTGGAGAAGAAACTTTTGTCTTAATTTCAGACTTTAAAACTTTTACTGTTATCTTTTTCTGCCTGTGTAGCCTTTGGCAGCAGAGTATCTCTAGAGCCTATTGACTGCTATGGTGAACATCCTTCCCTCGCAAACTATGAACAGAGCAAACTTGAATGTTGTGTTTTGTTTTTTTCAAAGTAGCTTTTTATGTTGTGTTTTAAGTCTTGGTTTTTTATTTTAATGTTTTGGCAGACAAATCCTGTCTTGTAGTAGCATTCTTTTAGTCTGCATTTCACATTAGCCATGCATTTAGTGAATAAAGCATCTCCCTCATAGGAATTCCCTACTGTATTTTTCCGTTTCTCACTTGCCTACTTTTCCGAAGTGTAAAATAGAATGTTTCTCTTTTCTGGGGACTTTTTTAAAAACAAAACCCAAACCCAACCTCACTATGGATTTTCTGAAGTTTGTTTGAATGTGCTAGTGTTGCTTATTTTGATTCCCCGGGCAGCAAATGGATTGAAGATTATTCTGGAGTTGGTGGGTAGGTGGTGGGGGGAATGTACTTGAACTTTGTTTTAGCAGATTCTCTGTTGCCTCCTTTTTGGAGAAAATAAATGGGCAGGAAAGAAAATCTAGATGTTTTCAGTTTGGTGACAAATGACAACTAGGGGTTCTCCTGCAGCTGAGATGGCAGAATGAGAGAGAAATGATCTGAGGAGTCCTTTTGCTTAAATATCTCCCAAATACTTGTGGGAAGGGAAGGATGAGGAAAGATGACAGAGGAGAAGATATTTTTCATAACTGGTGTAATTTACTAAATTTAGCACGGTCAGTTACGTCTCCCTTAAGTGCATCATCACTACACTTACTTCTGTCCAGAATAACCAAAACGATTTGCTGTTCTATCAAAATGCTAATACATTATTCCTTATATGTTCTTCTTTCTTTGGAAGATAATGCTGTTTTCTAGTCCCTGCACAGTATTAGCAAATACAACATTATCTTTCTAATCTGAAAAGCAGATGTGCAGCTGTTGCTTGCTGTTGCTGGTTCAGCCCGCTGTAGGATTCAGTGGAGAGACAAAACTGTCGCAGCCATCCCTGGCCAGGGAAGGAATCCAGGTCTCATCTTGGTCTGTCCTCGAGGCCTGCCCTTGTATTGTTAAGGGAATATCTGTTAGAGTATAGTTACAGTATGTTGTAAGAGTTTTGTCAATAGATGCTAGCTTACAATTGTGCCAGGAAAAAAAAGAAAAGGTGGTTTAGTCTATAAACCAACACCAGATGACTTCAAAATAGAAAGGTTTTTGTAATGGAATTGAGATAGGTGTTAGACATATTTCATGCATCAATTATAATGCAGAAATGGAGTTTGAAGGTACATCAGGTACCTAGAAAAAGAGAACCAACAAAAGAAAGTTGTCAACGTTGCTTAACTGAAAAATGTCCTGCAAACCTTCTCTTTGAGGAGAATTTCCCTCCCTCCTGCTGTGTGCACCTGTGAAAGGGAAACACTTTTTTCTTCTGAGGACATTTTTGTAGGATACAGCCTGTTGTGCCGTCTGAAGTAGCTGGGGTTTTGTGAAACGTAGCATTGCTCTAGGGAAAGGAGAGTAGGTTGTGTCTGGATGCGGTGCTTCTCTTATGTAGCAGCGTTCTCCTGTGCCGTGGTGGGTTTGTCTGCTGCGTGTTCATCACTGTGGAAGTTGGTGTTAAAAGAAATTGGGAAAGAAGCCCGTTTTGGGGTATTTTCTCTAAGAACTCTCATTTTGTGTGTACATATGCACTGCACTTCCAGAGGAATCAGGCTTGGGTTTTCTCTCCAGGAGCCACAGAACCAACAATGTGCAGGTAGAAGAAATCTGGCTGATTTTACTAGATGTGTATTTGGTACATCCTTTCTAATTTTTGCATAGTTTACTACAGAAACAGATGGGTTTTTTTAATCAGCGTAGTGCTTTGCATAGTCTTAAAGCAAATAGCAAAGTAGCTGTGAATGCTTTTATCTAATTTGTGACTGCCTTTCTAGAGAACCGCTTTAAAATTATGAAATAGATCAAAATAAGAATTGAATTTACCTTTTTGTCAGCTATCTTTAGCTATGACTGAGAACAGAGCAAAAATCTGGATTAAAAACAAAACAATCACAGCAGTTTCTGATGATAAACTTTCTCAAAATATGTTCAGTTTTGGGTTTGTTTTGGTCTTCTTGAAGTCTTTTTAAAAGAACAAGAATGAATTAGCAATAGAAAATTTTCAGTGCTATAAAGTGGCAAAGATGACAACTCCATTAGAGTGGACCAAGTTATTTACAGGTGACAGCAGAGTCTGCAAAGAGTAAATTCCAGTAAAATAATTAGATTTAATATGGGACAGAGAACAACTACCTGTACGGTTTTGTGGTAAGAGTAATTTCTACTAGCGCAGGTGAGAATGTTTTGGATGTACAGCTGATAGTGGGAGTGAAGTAGGAGCCATGTTGTTGTGTCCTCTCACTTTCTATATAGAGGTTGTATTCTGATCTTAGTTGGTTTTAAGATTTTCTGATGAGTTCTCTCTTCATGCTTTGCTTTTGCCTGAAGAGTAGACTGCTATGATAGGTATATGGCAACTCCCTTGGGATGATACAAGAATGCTGACATCTCAGGGTAAGATTCATAGGTTAAAAATTGTCAAAGGTTCCCTGATGGCACTTTGAAACTAAGCATGGAATTTTTTCAACTTGTTTTATTTATTTAGGTTTCTGTGGCATATGACTAAGATCTTTTACTGCATGTCTCTTCTGCAAAGTAGTCAAGTTCTAGGCAGACAGAATTCAACACAGCCATTTTTCTCATTTGTAGAGGTGTTGAGGAAACAGATGTGCTTTATCCTTTGGACCTTAACTCTTGGCATCCTGTTGGTGTTGGCAAGGTCATAATGTGGTGTTAAGATCTGTTAAAAAATTGATTAAACTGACAAGATTTGTTATTTTTTGCGGGTAGCATTGCCTGTGGGACAGGTGAGAAAACATGCTCACATAGTTGTAACAGTTTCTATTCTGTAAGATAGTCTAAAATGTGTGGAGAAAAATGAAGTAATCGGTCTTTTTACGCTGTGTTTGTACAGAAGAGGAAGACTATTATAGTGTTTTTAAAAATACCTAAGTGATGATGAAGTAAATGTTCCTGCTTAATTTCCCCTGAAGTGAGGTATTTATTTAGGTGAGAGCTTTTTCTCGTGCTTATTTACAGAAATCAGATTTTAAAACCCCCATATATTAAAAAAATAATTGTTTACGATGAAGGCCAAATAGATTGTGTTTGTGCAGAGAGAAAATGGATAGCTCAAGGAAATGACTAGATGACATACTTTCAAAGATTGGCATAAAGAGAAGTCAATTAGGGTTTTTTTGGTCTTTCTGTAATGGGAAAACAGCAGTAATAATCCAACATTCAGCTTGTTTTTCCCTGTTTGTTGCTCTCTGTTTGACAGGGAGAAACAGGAAAATAGATTGAGATTTGTTGCTGCAGAGTAATGAGGAGCGAGAAGCATAGGCTTGCTCCATAAAAATATTGGTGACTATTCAAAAGTGAAACAAGGTTTTTTTTTTTAACTTCATTTTTTTCCTCTTTTAAATCTGTCCTAATGAATATCAAAAAGACTAAACATTTTTTAATGTTTTACAGACATGTGAGTTCCCTCCAAGGAATCAACATTTTTATTTGAAATTTTCCAACTTAGTTTTATCGTTGATGCTGACACTATGCTTCCTTCCTCCCATGCAGAGTGAGGGTCCTTTTTGGAGCTGCCAAAACAAGTCTTCAGATTATCCTCTGACTCAGAGCTTGTTTGGAGGGGTCTGGGCTTATCCTTTGTTCCTAGCATCAAATTGCTCAAGACCTGAGGAGCAAGCAGAGAGATACAATGACTGTGGTCTCTGTGCTCTTCATTCCTTGCCATGTGTACCAGCATTGTGTGTTGATTTAACCCCATCTTTGGAATGGGAGCAGATGTTGGCTTCCTGGTATGTGGGACCAGTGTGTAGAGCCAATTCAAGAAAATGACTTTTTGTTTGATACTTGTGTTGTCTCTCATATGGTTCATGGAGCTTGACCGGGACGTGCAACATCTGCTGGCATAGTCCTTAAAGTCGTTAAAACCCGAAAAGCTCTGCAGTGCGTGGCCTGACAGCAGAACCACAGAAATATTCTTCCTTTGACAGTGGGAGTCATTGTGTGAAATATACATTAAAAATCCCCAAACCCCTCCTAAAAAAAACCCCTGAAATTTTCCCTTCTTGGTTACTCAGATCTTTGAAAATCATTTTATGCTTAATTATTTACTTATGCTTTCTTCAGCAGAAGATGGTACCACAAAAACATGCTAACCAAGTAGACCTGGAGTCTTGTCATGTCATCATAACTTAGTGCCATTTTAGATGAGAGGAATGTTCTGTAATTATTTTATCTTTAGAATTTGCTAAGACTTCAGCTATAGGATTCATGGCCCATTTTTTAATAATATGTGTTAATATAATAGTACACACCATTACCTCACTAGATCAAATAATTTACTGTAATTAGGAGACAACCTCTGGTAACCCCTGGTGATAGGGAGAGGAGAAATTGCATGTTCTTTAATATTCTTGATGTTGATTTGGGTCATCTTAAAAAGTTGTCAGTGATGAGAGAAGGAGGTCTTCCTTGTGGCACTAATTGTATTTTCATACACAGATTATGGTAATGACTGAAGAGCTGCAATTTTCTTATCCATATCTTTGCAATTTACAGCAGTGTGTAATTAATAGCTGAATTTTAAGCTGTATGCTGAGGGCTACTGATCTGAATGTTGATATTATGTTTTAGAACACTAAGGGAGGAATAATTGTGCTGAAGCAGAGTGCATTACCTGAACTAGTCTTTGAACTGGGGTCTGATGCAAAATCTAGATGATTAGTCACCCTTCTGGTACGGATCCATATTTATAAGATGTGGGAAACACCTGTACTGTATAAAAAATGTTTACTTGGATAACTTCATAACTATTAAAATACTGGATAGAGAACACTTGCTTAATTACCAGGGTGTGCCAGATTGTATAATCAATATGGATAATTCTAGGTAGGAGTAAGATCTTAACATTTTCCTTCATTGACTATAAAAAAAATTATTTATCACAGACAAATGGGCATAGAAAATGCTATTTTTGTTACTAAAGTAAAACTGTAGATGGAAGCTAAGAAGAGGTAGGAGTTCATTTATATGAGAGTAGAATGATGAGGTGAATGAAAGAAATCTGCAATCTGTCTCATGTAAGCTGACACTCGTTTCTGCTTCAGAAGGTATCCTGGGATGGCCTGGGCCCAAGTCACACTCCACAGAGCAACTGAAAAATGGTGCCCTCAGCTCCTTATCCTCTGCTAGTGCCAACCTCACGTGGGCAATAGTACCTTCTGCAGTCCAGGATGGACAGGCACTGCAACCGAATACAGAGGTGAGCGTGCTCAGTCTCTATAAGCCATTTCTGTTGTATCTCAGACTTGACATTGCTTAGATGCAAGCCACGTACAATGATGGATGCTTTTATTACTTGCATTTTTTTCTTTATAGTACCCAATTTATTTGAGATTAGTTGTGAAAATGCTAAGTTTCATGTAAAAGTGCACTTTAAAAACTAGAAAAATATGTTTACAGTATTGCTGTGTGCTTTTGCTTTTCTGAGGTTTTTTTGGACAGAGACAGCGCACTATGGCAAGCGCACAGTCTCTTTTCCAATTGTAAGAGCGATTAACAGACTGTCAGCACACATTTCTGTTTTCTGGTGATAGAAAAAGCTGTTTGGGTTTTTTTTATCCTGTTTGAGATAGACAGGAGACACTAGGAGCATTACATTTGCTTGCTCCTTGTTCTTCCATGTTGCTGTTTGCTCTTGGGTGTGTCTTGAGTATAGCTGACTGTTCTTTGAGTTGAAAAACTATATTGTTTTCTGACCCCTTTTCCTGTTAAATAATTATGGGCAGAACTTGTCTGCACCATCCCGCACCAGCCTGTTGATTTGTGCTTTTGTGGCATTTACTTGGTAAAGGGCAGTTCAGAAGCGTCGACTCTTTGAGGAGGCTCACAGCTGTGTATCAGGCATCTCATGCATTGAAAGTCTCTCACCATGCCAAACTTCTCCAGCTTCTACTGGCTGCTTCGGTTACCAGTGCTGCCCACCAGGAAACCACTTCACTCTGAGACCCACAGATTGTAGGGCACCTGGAGCACGTGAGACCTAGGAAGAAGTTTTTGAGAGAGCTGAAGAAACCCTTTTCTACTAGTGGATGCTCTTTGGCAACTGGAATGTCTTAAATTAAATTATATTACCTTTAACAAAATGTGTAATGGCTGGGGACATCAATAAAGCTGTTTTTCTGGTTCTTTTGTAGTATCTTGAGTTAAATATAGTTCAAAAAAATCCAAGGCTAAACCAGATTTTTATTTTTATATTATATTTTACTTTGGTCCTTTTCCAGATCTATCCTTAGAAAGTAATTTCATATTCTGTTACTCTTAGTCCATTAATCACAATGTTTAAATTACCTGTAATTGCTTTTTATTAGGAAGTTGTGTAATTTGTTTTTCAGATAAGCCAACTGCAGTTCTTGTAGAGTGTTTTTAAGACAAGAGGCTTTTTAAGAATAATGTTTTGAGAGTTACTGCTTCACTTGCTGATACACTGCAATTTGTTCCATTAGGTTTTTTTAGATATTTTTATTCTTGACCACCTGGTAAAGCCAAATGGGAGGTGGAAGCATGGGTTTTGCAGCAAGAACATAAATAGCAACATCTGATTCAACTCAGGGTATCGTTTTGCAGTTGAGCTGAGCCATTTTTGACTTATTTTAAATTACAATTTTATTTTTAAAGTCCATTCTCCTCCCCTTTGCCTGCTGTTGAGAGATACTGAGTTCTGCGTGTGGCTTGAGGTACTGCTTTGCTCATGGAACTTGTGATTTATTGGGAAGGGAGTACTCTTGAAGAGATGAATGTAGGCAAGGGAGCACAGCACTGTTTATAGTACAGAATCCGCAGTGCTTTCTGGGCAGTCTTCCTGAAGTCAGCAGCAGGCATTTGAAGGTCCTGAGGGACTAGCCTTTAAAAAAATAAAAAATAAGGGTGAAAAAAAAGAGAATAAATGAGATTTGTAAGTTATAAAAAGCTCGGCTGAAGATGGTGTTTTTGGCAGAAGCAGTAAACAGAAGTTTGTGAATTGGTGAAGCAACAAGAAGCAGCTGGACTCGTGTGTAATTTTTATTATGTAGTAGCGGTTTAGTAGTACAGTTTATTAAGCAGAAATTTGATTTTGCTCCAAGAAGTGTCCTGAATCAGGATTTGTTCCTGGAAGCTCTTTCCAAACCTGTCTTTGCTTCCACTGAGTCCATGTGTGCTTCGTGTTGTCTGAGATTGATATATTGGCTTGCAATTTGAAGTGCTCTTTTGAATGTAGCTGATATATTTCTCAGTTTTCATAATTTTTATCAAGATATCTGTGCCCCATTGGAAGATTGAAGCACAAAACCTGATTTGTGAAGAGGTGAATAGTTCCACCTAACATAAATCGGAGCTTTTGTGTTTTCAGTTCACCTTTAGATGGAGCAAGTTGTCATGCCCTGTTGCAGAGGCTACACCTCTTGACTGCTGTGGCCAGATCCTTTTCTGGGAAAGGAGGTGAAGTCTTCCTGGAGTGCTGCAGGTTCTGCCCAGTATCCAAGCTGAGCCAAGTGTCAAACAGGAAACTGGAGCTGCTTCTTGATGTGACTGGAGAAAGGAGGGTGGGAGAACAGGCTTTGAAGAGAAAAATCTTTAGAGCAATGTAACTGTCACCCTGCGAAGGATGCTGTCTGGCTCAGGAGATGGTGTCTGACACCCCCCAAACTTATCAAAGGTGTCTGATAAGTAACACACTTATCAAATCTGTGTGCAGGATTTAAGCATGTCTTTAAACATATTTTAGCCTGTTGTGTGTCCAAGGCAGGAGCCGAGGTTTGGCACTGAGTAGCCAGTTCAAATGTATAAAAGCACTGACTGGGCTAGTTACTTAGTGTGTGTAATTATATGTAAAAGCAACTGCAAATCATCACACTCTGCTTGTTTCTTAGTCCAGCTACATTGTTGTTAATGACTGAGGTGGCCTCAGCAGAGAGTGAGAAAGTGCATCTAGATGTCATTGACAGGTTTTTTTGGCATTGAAGACCCTGATTTCTTTATTTCTGTGGTAGGTTCTTTTAGATGTAGAAGAGAAGAGGAATTCACAAGTGTCATTCAGTTGACGCTTATTTCTCTTGATTTTCATTTAAAAAAAACCCGAACTAGGCACTGGATGATCTTCATTTCTGAAAAAGTTAGTAGTGTCTTAATGGGCTCAGCTTTCAGAATACACCTGCCAAAAGAAGTGAGCCTTGCTTTTACAAAAGTTACAAGAAGAGAGCACTACTTCCTCTATCAGTGCTATCAAAATTAATTCCAATTCTTTGACTGGGTGTAGATTTTTATTTAAAAAAAAATCTGTACTTTTTATGATATAACCTCTGTCTCTTTGTCAGAGGCTATGCCCCAAAGGAGTGGGAGAGAGCTTTTTGGCTAACACTCAGCATAATGTAGTAGATGTACTGACCAGAAATGGTGAATTGACCTGTAGTCTGAAATAGAAAAAGCCATTAAATTACTACCCTTGAGGAACAACTGACTCAACTGCTTACATTATAGAATATTATTTATAAGGAAAAGATAATTTTAGGTAGGTGGATCAGCAGTGATTCTAAAAAGGAAACAGAGATGTTTGTTATGTTGTGCGGCTGGAAGGACAGGATGGGACTGCCGAGGAATCTCTCCCATGGAGCAGGCTGCTACTGGCATCAGTTTCCTGGCAACATGACCAAGCGGCTGAGTGTGTTTAGTGATAGCTGTGTTAATTCTCATCACAGCACGTAGACACTTTGCAGCAGTGCATTAAGCAACGTCATTAACAAACCAATGGCTTGTTCTTTGCTGTGTTTTTTGTGTTTATGAAGAAGCGTGGATCTTTATCATTCTTCTCTGGAACAGCAAGGCTCATCTGATGCAATTTTCTTTGAATACTTAAGCAATCTTGAGGGATATAATAAGTTCTTGAGTTTTGATGCCATAGATAACTAAAACCTTTTTTATTTTTTTTGGTCTGTCACACTGTCAGGGTTTTAGGAATGGAGAGTTTCTGACCTAGTGAAATAATGTAGCAGCCTTCTTTTCTGATGATGTGTTGGTGTTTAGTTGCTTTTGTTATTTAGGTGTTTCTTGCTCCCAAATACAAGCATGTAATTTGAGATATTGCTTAGATTAGTTCAGAAGATTTTGTGGCAGAGGTTATTTTCTTGTGTATTCCCTGCCTATCTTAGCATGTCCTTTCTTGATGTTGCTGTTGTGTTCTCCCAGGTGCATTTTCTTTTAGGATTGTGATACAGGACATTAAGAAGTTAAAGCCTGTTACCTTCACTGGAAGAAGTAACTCCTGACAGTGAAGTGCTGGATGAAACACATTTGTCTTTTTATTTTTCATACTTTTTTTGTATAAGTTTTAGTTTTAGTTAGTTTCCCTTTTTTGGATTGCTTTGTTCTGTCCACTTGAAATATCAGGTGGAAGCATGGCTAAGGGCTGAGCTGAACAGAACTATTCTTCATCTGACGTGAGCTGATGTAAAATACTTCTGGGCATCCCTTAGTGAATAACTTTGGACTTTTTGGCATAAGCTATATTGCAATTTCAAGGTATTATTTAGAATTTTTCCTAAAGCATAAAAGCATCCTAAAGCAGAACAGAACAACTCTGATGTAGGATGTGCCAAAGTGCGCTCTTCAGAGCTATGACGTGAGCTTGGCCTGTGTCCAGTCTGCAGTAAACGGGATCCTGCTTCCTTCATTTAAGGAGGAATATAATATAATTTTGAGATTCCTTTCAAGAAATGCTGAAATTGGTTAGTTTTAAACTATTGAATCTCATAGTAAATTCAGTTGTAATAAACTTTGTGCCTATGTGGAGTAAAGGTGTGAATCACTTCAATGTGTAAGCTACTGTTCCACTTCAACTAATTGTCATTTTGGGTGTCAGAATTCTCCTTCTGAGCTGACAAAATGTAACTTTGGGCCAAATGTTTCCCCTGGCAGCCAAATACAAATGGGAAATAGGCTGTTCTCATGCAAGACCTGAGAGGGAAGGAATCAGCAGAAAATGATCTCACAGTTTACTTAAAACTTATTATGAAAATTATGCTGTAGCTACACCTGCAATTTAAAGATTCATGTGGTATTTGTGCCTTAAAACGCCACACCAGCTAATTATTTCCATCCTCTGGATCTGGTATCTGTTGAGTATCTCAGCTTTCCTATCCCTAACTTTCCCTTGCTTGTGCGCATGAGAAACTGTACGCATGCTCCATATCAAAGTGTCTTTTTAATAGGATTGAAGTTTTAGCTCTG